ATTGCCAGATTGATTCCTTATGTGTAACATTGTTAGGGTTTAAAACACTATAGACTACATGAATATAATGAGTTTTTCAGTTTTGTTTGACAAGCACTTTCTAACTCCATAGTAAGCTTGCATAGTTCATTTAAACTTCTTATGTCCTATTTTCCTCACTTATAAAAACATCATTGTAGATTAAATAATTAATTAGTGTGAAAATTTTCTTTGCATAACAGATAATCAAAATTCTATTAGGTGTTATTGTTCCCATTCTGCACTTATCTTTATGGTCATGAATAGTGCCCAAATCATTGCAAGATTTCGATCAATTCTCATTGAATGAATGGGTCAGTGAATGTTCTTACCAGAAAGGAAAAGAACTCAGATTTTAAGTTTTTGACCTAGGGAAGGTAGAGTTAGAACACTTGTGATGAGTAAGACACAGAAGATAGTTTGGTCTCAAACAGCAAGGTTTTCTGAATCAGCAGGTTTTTGTTTCAACTGAGTGCAATTTTAGAAGAAAGAGCTTGACATTCTATACCTTTCCTCAATGAAAGATCCATATGTGTTCAATGCAAATCAATAGAAACACTCTTTCAGCTTTCATTAATTATCTATTCCACAACTGGATATTGCACATTACTTATTTTATATGAAATTACTTAGAAGATTTAGGAAATTATTGTAGTAATGTTTGGTGAGTTTTTGTTTGTTTGTTGTTTGATATTAAAGTTCATGAAGTCTTAACTCTGGTATTCTGAGTGGGCCCACAATTTGCAACACTGGGACCTGAGGAAGCTATGGTGGCAGTGAACAGTAAAGGCAGTTTAACCTTCTCCACACATTATCTGGGATACCCATTTAAACCTGCTCTAGGGAAAAAATAGCTCCTAAAAAATAGAATAAGCCTTTTTTGACTCGCACAGCAGGATTTAGTTAGGATAAATAGCATCCTATTTTTGTTGAGTATAGTAAAGGTCTATAAGACAGCAACAATGTTTCTATTTGATCCCCTTTGCCTTTTGGGGGGACAGCTTGGCTCCTATCATATGTGATACTTGATTTAAATTTTTTACAGGGATAACCTTATTGATGAAATTTATTTAGAGAAGGTGTTAGTTAATAATGGCAACTGAAATAACAATTATTTACAACAGTTTTGTATGCAACATACTCTGAAATAATATAAATAAGATAATTCAATATTTCTTTAAATTTTTATGGTAATAATATTAGTGTCTAAAGCAGTTTACTAGCTTCTTTTCTCCAATACAGAATGCACCAGGAGTGAACCTGGAAAGAAGTACTTACTATATTTTGATGATTCAGTTCATATGGAACATGGAAAAAACATTGCTTGACACTTTTCTTTTTGGAAATCACTGGGCTGTATGATGAAATGTGCGTTCTTGGACTGCATGACCAACTACATCAATAATTTCTCAAATAGGTTCCCTGATTGACAATTTTATCTATATCCCCTCTTGAATTTAATATACAACAAATTTGAACAGCACTTTCTCTTTAACAGTATGCACTTATACAAGGGCAAATTGATTTAGTCAAATGCTGAATAATGTGTTCATTATTGAATTAATATTTATGATATAATTGATTATTATTCTAAATATATTAAAATAATGAATCATTTTCTTAAGTAAGCAAAGTATTTATTCACTGTAGTACTTAATCAAGATATATAGAGATTTGTCCAACACAGTAAGAAGGAAAAGCTAAAATACACTAATTTATATTATTCTATATGACTTAGAAACTATTTGTCTCAATCAATTATGTTCCTTGTTCAAACTCTAAACATTTTATTTAATATATAATCTTACAGTAATTGTCTTACAAAATACTCAAATAAGTGTGTTTTCAACTATATGCTATGTTAAGCTTTTATTTTTACCTGAAATCCATCATAAAACTTTCTTCTTCACTGTTTTTCAGAATTAGAAATATTTTAGAAGTTTCTTTATGCCACAGTAATTCTAAATGTCATATTTAATTTTTCATGTTTTAATATTTCTTTTCATATTTTAGAGATTCTCTGTATTTTATCCTTTCTTTTACTCATCTATTTTAATATTTTTATTTCATGGTATCATGTTAATTAAATTTATTTTTGATTTTCAAGGTTTTTTAAATTTAATTTTTGATTATATTTACATAGCTGATCAGGGTTGGAAGGATCAAGTGTTAAAAAGAGTGGGTGTGATCATTCCTTGAAAATTTTCTATCTCTTCCTCCTGTTTCTGGGGGAAGTGACAGGATAAGGGAAGGAGCCATACCCAGCCTTCCAAATGCCCCAGTATCTGTGGGTGGAGAATGGCCACTAAATATCATCCCAGGGTCCTTATCTGGTGTATTTTTCAGGGGTTCTGACAATTTGGTCTCTTCCGATGTCCATTGGCTGACATTGTCGATTCAACCCAATTCTCTCTGTCATCCTTTGACTGAGGTATTTGTCAAGTTTGTTCTGCCCTCCTTCCTCTGCTATGTAACAGATGTGCTCTGCAGGTCCCAATGGGCTGCCATATCCTCCATATGCATCAGGGCATGTGGTTAACTGCCCTATCTTTTCCACAGAGGAGGACCAGTTCACACGGGTAGGTCAAGGACATGGGCCAGGTGACCCAAACCCCATCAGACCTCCTGCCCCAGGGGCTCACGATTCTGGCAGCCACCAGACTAGAATGGCTCACCTCACCTCAACCTCAACCTACACCAATGCATGATGCATCCTGCTTCCAGTTCCAGCTCCTGTGGTGGGTGATTCAGCCAAACCCATCTCAGTTGGCACCCAGTCCTGGCCCTAATGTGGACTGGCTTCTGAGCAAAGCAAAAATTTCTGAATATTGGCAAATAATTCATTTTAAAAAGTGGCATATCAGCAGAAATTTGAAGAGTGGTGGAATTTGGGAAATGGGAATGGGAGCAGAGTTTTTAAGGCAAAGAAAACAGTAAGAAAAGAGTAGACTAATGTGGAAACTTGGTTCCACCTGACAAAAATGTGCTGATTTGCAGGTAGCAGTGATGGGTTTAGATAACTGAAAGTGTGGAGACACCAATTGAGGGTTAGGGCCAGAATATCATCTTTTCATGTCTTTATAACATTTGCATGTATTCAGCTCTACAACATACCTGAATGTGATATGTGATACAACACTGTTAGGTTTTATCTCAAGATTTTTTTTTTAAAAAGGAAGTGATTAAGTGATTGACAAAACTTGAATCCTTAATTGGATGGCCTTACAAGAAGGAGCAGAGCAGTGACTACCTTGTGGATGTGAGCATGATTTCAGAGTATAATATAGAGTAGAGTAAACTGGAAATAAAAAGTGGGGCATTGATGGAGACACATCAAGATATGGAAACTCATGGACTGTGCATTGATGTCAAAAGGGCCATAAGAAGGAAATTGCTAGGAGAAATGCATGTGTGATATTCTTACAATATTTTAAGACAATAGTCTGATGTTTATGAATAACTCCAATTGTTTAGCAGTTTATTTCAACTCTACATTCTTCTCAAGGTTGTTTCATCTTCTTGAAAATGTATCAGTAATTTACAGAATTGTCTTATGGGGCCTATGTTTCTTAGGCATTATAACTGATAATATTTAAATAGGATTTATCATAATTAGACCCAGTAAAGTTTTGATCTTATAGAATGACTGTATGTGTGAATATAGCAAGGAATTAAGAAGTAAGTTTACTTTGATACAAATTTTTGAAATCATACATACATTAGATCCTTAAAAAGTTCAATTAAATTAGACTTATGAAAAACTATTAAAGGATTTCTACTGTTGGTATAACACATCAATCATTTCCTTATAATTTATGAATATTTCAGTTATTCATCTGTTTCTTTTAAAATTTAAATTAATTTTCAAATAAAGGAAGAAATAGTAATATCAATAAGTATTTGAAACAATGATTAGTCACTGTAAGAAATGCAGGAAACTAAACCTCTGATTGCTTATCAGTAACTGTAAATAACATCAGTTTTTCAAATACCTCTACATAGAAATGAATTTCCCATAACCATCAGAAAGTGAGTTCTTTTTAAAAATCCATCAAAAATAGGGAAAGCATGCAGAATCAATAAGCAAGCCAATAAGCAAACTAAAAGTCAAAAAACATGAAAGCTCTGAGTTAGAAACATCTATTAACATAGATATAATTTCAGGGGAAAAAATTGACAGACATTTTACATAATTTGGAATAATACTTAACTATGTGAATTATCACATCAGCAAATAAGTTATCGATATGGTATAATTTATATCTGGAAGTTAAGCAAATGTTTCTCATGTTTGAAGTCTATTTGTTCATGGAATAGATAATAAAGAAGATAGCTGTTATTATTTTCTTCTTTGTAGCTCTAGATTCACAAAATATACATTTCATTTGCAAAATCCCAAACTTTCAACTAAATAAATAAAGAATAAAGTAAGAAGAAAAAAAAGAAAAATAAACAGAATTCTGCTTCTGTTTCTTACCAGCAAATATGAACTTTTCCTCATCTAACAAATCTGAAAATTCTTTCCAAGGGAAGGATATAGCATAATCTAAAATTCTTAAAAGGCCTCATATAGAAATAAAAAACCATTTCAATAATGATTAGTGGATAATTGCCTTCCAAATAATGGATAATATTCTTAGACTTATTTTACACAATTTGTAACCTAAGAAGCATAAAATTTCCAATTAGGAGGAAAGATGAAGACAAAGGGGCAGGTAATTCAGTTCTGAGCTTCACCTTCTGGTTTTGTTTGCTTGCATGCTTGTTTAATGAAGGAAAATTCTTAAGGTTACTAATCACTTCAAATAATAAGAACAATGGTAGACAAACTGAACTATATCACATTAAAATGCCCATCAAGCACAAAAAAACCAGCAAATCTTATAATACTTTATTTCATTCAAGCACACGTTTGCAAAAGAGCCATCCCAAAGCTTCATATTTATTTTTCTAAAATCATGTTAATTTCTTATTTATTTCAGGCATTACTAGAGACTCAAAATTTACTGCGCACTCAGGTTGCAAATTTTACCTTCAACCTTGGATTTTCAGGGAAGTTTTACCACACAGGTAAGAAGGAGCTTTGTGTTCTCAGGCAGCCACATTTAAATAGGAGTTAGGATTTTAAGTGTTCCCTAAGTAGGAGAAATAAAATGTCCAGATTGATTATGGAAAAAACTTGTGTGCATTATCTAAATAGCCAAATCCAAAATCAATGAGCTTGTTTACGTTGGCAAATACTATTAATAGCAAGGACAAAGAGGACAAGGATTGTCTTTTTCAACTTGGTAAAAGAAATCATAACTCTTGTTCTAAGTGTGATTGCGTATCTGGTTTTTTGAATAGTTCATACAGAATGCATAGTGACAATGATGATGAGATGATAATGATATAGCTACTGCTAATAATAATTAGACTCATATTAAATTGTCAGTGTGTTGAGGTGATCAGGACTTTTGTATGTATTGCTTTCCTTTGGAAACTTCCAGTGATGGAAGAGAAATTACATGGACTCACATAAACTTAATCAGACTTAATGGTTATATTATTTGTGCAGCTTTCCTTGTCAAATTTTCCTTCTAAATTGATTATTGCTAATTTGGTGCAATATCCTTTGCAATCGTCACAATCAGGTTTGTATTTTTCCACCTTCATCCATTCCTGCTTACATTTATATTCAGCCTTGGTCTTTCAGCAAATTCTCAAAATGCAACAAATATCCAGATGCTGTTTTGTGTTCTGATATTTTTCACCTTCCTACCCTCCTCAATTTCAGGTATTGGCTTTCAATTTTTGACTATTAGCACTTTATATGGCCGACACGAGTAAACACAAAACTCTTTACAAAATTGATTGCCACATAATGGTGAAAATATAGTACAAAACTATTCATCAGATCCTCTGTTAAAGTAATATCTACAGGATGCATATTTTTTGTTTGCTTAGGACAGCGCACTCTTGACAGCGTCTTAGTAGAATTCCCCAGTGTTCTCCATCCAAGCATGCAACTTGTTTACTCATTAAAAGTAACCCATACAAAGGTAATCCTTAATTGTCCTAAATACAGCTTGTTTATCCAAAGATTTTTTTAAAGCAAAAGCTCGGCATAATTTATTAAAACATTGATGTAGCAGTATCTGACTGGCTTTTCCTTCATGCTTTTGACTCCTGCTTTGAAACCTGGGAATGCATATAAAGTAAATAAAAGCAAAATTAGTATTTAGAATAGTTGATAAATCAAATGATTGCATGTTTCAGAAGCACATTTTGCACAAAGAGATTTGGGTCATCGTATCTGCTGAGGCAAAGCAATCCCAGCTTACAATTTTGAAAATAGGCATGGTTTTGTAAATCTTCAAACGCTTCCCCGAGAAATGAGTTCAGGCCTAAGAAACTCTGACTGTGAAGTTATAAACCAGATAGCTTATAAAGGCTGCATAAACTCAGAGAGTAGAAAATTATGGGATTATTTGGAGTTCACACCCAAGTAATACTATTTTGTCTTAAATAGCTGTGCCAAATGGACACCCATTCTTTCAGCTGAAATATGTCTAGATAACTACCTCAGCTTTTACTTTTCATATTCAGCCCTATGAAACCTGCTAGATATCTGCAGAGCTAACTACGATAAAGCTTATAATACTTTCAATTTCTTCTTTATTTTCCTGAACATGTACACAATTCACATCCAGTGGGAAACGAACAACTGCCAGTCAACAATATCGCAGGGCAATTGCTCAAGGAATATATCCCCCAGATACATATACTTTAACTGAATCCCTTAAACAGATTTTATTAGTCTTGCTTCTCGAACCAACCTAAAAAAACAGTATTGAGACAAACACTGCTGTTTTGCTGTGGTGATAATATGCTTTTGGGCATAAGCAACATATTTTAATTTTGTAAATACTGGAAACTTAATTTCCACCATGTAAACATGTAACTTGTGTCTGATCCTTCTGTTACTTATTTGTAGCTTCCATGCATCCTAATGTATTTCAAGAGCACAATCACATCATGTTAAGCATTTATTCATGCACTTGGGAATATCAAAGGTGCTTCCAGAGCTGAATTGCCCTGCTGCAAAAACCACTATCAGAAGAGTTTGTCGCACCGCTATTTAGACTCATTCCCAAATGCAGATTTACCATTATATAAAAAGAGATTGCAAGCCAAGAAAGTGCTTTCCTTTTGTGTGCACCTGAGTGTGATGTGAAACAGGAAGAGATGGCCTTGTCACAGTGGCTGTCTCAATTCTCTCCCAGGGTGATCTGATTTCCTAGCCCATACACATGCTGATTGATGAGCCTCATTGTTTTGAAGACATTTAATCACATATGCCCAGTGTAATAATGATTGATTCTACATTTCCAAGACTGCTTTACTTATTTGTATTTCTCAAGAATTCTTTCCTGTTCAGCTTTTCTGTCCTTCACATCCTAAACACAATCTCACCGGTAAAGGATGTATCACTAAACCTTCCCCAAAAGTCATTCACTCATGGATGCCAAGTGTGAAAAGGGAGGATACAATACTGAGTAAACAAAAAGTCATAAAAATAAATAAAAATATGAAACTTCACTGAAATATTTTAATCTGGAAATTTTTGCAGATTTATTTGACTTACACATGAAGATTGGTAGAAAAAAAAGGAGATGAGTTAACAATCATAATTTTCATATTATTTTAAACTGTTGTGTTTTTTAAATTAATAAGTTGAACATGTATTATTCAATAATCAACTCAAGCATATTTGAATCAAGCTAACATTTTTTTCTGGTATATTTTATAAAGATTGCTGTTTAAAACTGCCTACTATCAAACACAAAGTTGTTTAATTTTTATGACTTTCCTTTAAAGTGATGAACAAAAGACAACATGTTAGATATAGTCCCTTGTGTTCAAATCCAGCATCAGATATTTTATTAGTTATTGATTCCAAACAGATTACCCCAGTATTACATGCCTCAGTTTCCACACCTCTGAATTGGATATTATACTAGTATTATATCTCAGTTTCACCAATGTCACCATGTTGTAAGTGCTAAGTGTTTATTTTTAATATTAAGAGGGTTTTTAGTATCACAGTTACCATCAACCAGATAAGCAGTGGATAATTCACATGACTATTTCTCATTTGAATATATTTTAATCAATTGTTATCATCATGTGCTTCTTTTTGGGGGAGGGGTTACAATTTTTTCTATCTTTACTTATGTGTTACAATGTTTAGTGTCCAAAGAAAATTTGAAAATATCTTAATAGGAATAAGATCATTTCATAATTTATAAGCAAATATAAAGCAGAGAGTCTTACAAAGGTGATATTGTTAATAGCAGAATTTCTTATGTTACAATTCAACAATAGATTTAAGAAAATGGTTGTTCAGATCTTGGTAAAATGTTTCTTATTTTGCAGAATTAAGAAACTTCTATAGGTAGTTCAAAAATCATAATAAAGATAGATTTTCCGTTGTTTTACTTCTGAATTAAAAGTATTTTTATTTCATTAAAATTAAGAGAAGTAAAATGATTTATGTAAAAATAGGAGTAAAATATATTACATTCTTTACTAATGAGCTATATGAAATCAGTTCAGGTTAGAATTCAAAGACTCAAGTTTATAAAAATTTATAGTATATAAACTAAAATTATATTTTGACATGTAAGTCAATCATATATTAAATATAGAAAAGTACTTGTTTACAATGAACAAAAAACCAATAATGTCTTCGTTTAGCTGAATTTTGAAATTTCTGTGATCAAACTGAATGAGCTGCTGTTACTCCTTTCACTGAGTTATCTCTAGTGTTAGCTCATCTAACTTTGACCTATATGAGCAGTATAAGAGAAATGTTGCTATGAATTAACTAATTATAAATTAATGATCAGTTAATTACTTATGCAAGTAAAAAAAGAGAGGTTTTAAATCTCACTCTCAACCTTGCAGTGAATGCGTATCAAACAATACAGTTCCTGACATAAAATTACTAAAGTTTTATGAACGGCAATACATTAGTTTATATTAACAGCCTACAAAATATATCCTATAAATTGAGTAATTGACTTCTATCCTGGTCAAGTATACATTTTGTGCTTGGTACCACTTGCAGTAATGATTACTGGAGTTGAGAGTGAATGAAGCCTTCTCAAGATATTTACTATTCCAAGCACAGCAGAATAAATCCCAAGGCAGAGGTGGAGATGCAAGCACCATCAACTATTCCATTACTGTGACATTAACTGTTTCTAATCTGTGCTCCAATCAGCTAATCTGTGGCCACACGAATCATTTGTAGCATAAACATTGTAAAAATGTCACAAACTCTTCTTTGTTTGAATTTCACGATTTGGTATTCTTAGTAAATTAATGAAAGTCCAAAAATTGTAACTGTGCAATTGTAAGTTTTAGCTAACTTGGATCCATGCTAAGCATTCAGTCCTCCCCTCTTATTCACAGGACCTTATCTCCATCATTCAACTTTTTCACCCTTTGCAATAAAATCCAGAAACTCAAATCACTAAGTACACCTGGTGGTCCTGACACCTTTCATTGGAGTCTAGGAATAAGGTATATGCATAAAAAAATTCATACACTAGTATATACTCCTGTGGTCACAGGAAGTGGCCAAAATCTACTGGTTTTACAGTAACACAGACCAAATTAAATTATTGATTTATTCACCATTCTGCAAAAAGGTGTGTAAGAGTACATGTTAAAGCGATCTTGTAACTCAATATAAAACATAAATCCTAGGCAGGCAAAGTTTTCAAGAACAGTTACCATGTTTTTAAGTATGAAGCTGTTCCTAAAATTAAGTACTTACTGTTTGCAAAACACAATATTAACTACTATACTTATCTGAAATCTCATTAGTAGGGGAATTTGCCTTTGATTATTGTATTTTGACAAATATATGATAGCAGTGTAAAATGCTAATAATAGGAGAAACTGGAATGGGGTTAGAAGAACTCCTTAGACTACTTCCTAAGTTTTTTTTTTTACAATATTTTTAAATGTAATGTGATAAATTGATCTCATTGAATTTTTATTAAGGGCTTATAAGATGTATCTTTTATCCTCATTTTAAACCAACAACCTGAAACTTACACTGAGAAAGATTTTCCAAACATCACGTAATTGTTCAAAACAGTTAACTATACACCAAGTATTAAATGATACCAAATATGAGTTTTGCCATATTAATTTTGGATCAGTATAAAATCAAACATTCCTGTGATATCTACCTTTATACTTTATTAAACCATATAAAATACACCTCAAATTATATCCCAGGACTTGCATTTTACTTTCATAATTGATTATTTATAGAACAATTAGGAATGGATGTTTGCACTATTATTGCAGAACATGTTTAAATTTGTATGGATATTACCAAGTTGTACCAAATTTGTGTGATTTCGTTAAACAACAACAACAATAGCAACAACTTGGATAGCTAAAATAAGTTGAAATTTCTCCAAAGTATGGTTTTCTGTTTTTCTTTCTTAATATTTGTGACATATTAATGCTTTTTTTCTATGCGTATGGTATATTCACAAATGTTTCTAAACATTAAAAGAAAAATACATTGACTCAAAATCTCAAGATAAATTTCTAACACAGTATTACAAGTTTCTTTGTTAATTTTTAAGAAATAGTGTATATAGCATGGAGTTGAAATGCAAAGATAAGTATTCAGTAAGAAATGAATTTTAAAAATGTAACAGAAAACATTTTAAATGTAAATATAAAAATGGGTCTACAGTTCCTTCTGGATTTGTTCAGGTATTTTATTTTCACGTTTGGCTTGATCATTTACTTCTCTGTTTTCGACATTTCTTTAAAAGTATATGCTATCTTCTTAATCAGAATAAAGCTAAAACTTTTGAGGTAAACTTTTAAGTTTGACTTTAGACTTATATACAAGAAAGAATTTAATAGTAAAAAAAATCATCTCTGATCAGGTTTTCCCTATATGAAATAAAATAAATAATTTGGCAATAGCTATGTAGATTAAAAAAAATTAGACCACCTAAAATGAGGTTTGCTTTCTATCACCACCATAGGTAGTAATTTGAAGTTATACCAGTGACTAAACTTTTCCTAAACTCTGCACATACATTTTTAAATTATCTGCACTCAGCATCAGGACCACATCCAACCCACCAGACCATAATTCCCAACTCACCAGCCTCATTGAAATTTAATTTTCTACATGTAATATGATTTTTTCTTTTTTTTTTTTTGTTCTTGATTAAGGATCCCACATGGTTGAATTATGTATCCATAACAAGAATGCCAGCATAATTCTATAAAAATAACACTTAAGCTAATATGTAATTTTCATAGAAGACATTATTACTTTGTGTTATAGGGACTGAAGAGGAAGATAAAGGAGATGACCTTTTGCTTAGATCTGTGGATGAGTTCTGGTGGTTTCCTCATATGTGGAGTCACATGCAGCCCCACCTCTTCCATAATGAGTCATCTTTAGTAGAGCAGATGATTCTCAACAAGGAATTTGCACTGGTGAGTATATGTTCTTGTATTTCTTAAACTAAGAGTTGTGATCCAGTAATGAACTGTGAAATTACTTTACTGGGTGAGATTGAGTAGAAATAGAGCAGGAAGTCGTGGTGCCTCACATACATTAAGGGTTCATATTGCTTCACAACATTTTGTTTCAGGACGATGCATGTGCATATTTTGGGTCATGATGTAACATACATAAACATTTTCAAGCGTTTTGTAAAATCTTTCATCTTATAATAGTTGTCATTTTCTGTTTTGTGAGGGGAGTTTCTCTTGTATCTATGAAGAAGAATCATATTATTTTCTCTGTTGTATTCCTGGTGCTCCACAATCAATGACTCCAAAGTCATTTATTGTAATATAATGGGTTTTTGGGTACAATTACGATCTGCTTGATTGTCCACATCCTTTAACAGAGTATATGGGTTTGAATGTTGGCTCTGCTGCCGAATCGGGCTTCTTACCAATGCACAGCCTGGGAGGCAGCAGGTGTTGGTTCAAGTGCTTGAGTCCCATGGCAGACACGTTAGAACTGAACTGAAATCTTGGCTTCTACCTGATTTAACCCTGTCTATTGCAGACATTGAAGAGTGAACCACTGAACAGATGGTTCTCTCTCTCTTCCTCTCTCTGTCTCCCTTAGGTATTGTTTACAAGTCTTTTCATAGTGAAGCAGCAGTGCTGAAAATTTGCAGAAGAGACCACATGACCGATAAAGCCCAAACATTTAGCAAAAATGTGTGTCCACCCATGCTCAAAATAGCTGTTAACTCATATAATTGTTAAGGATCCAATGAAATACAGAAATCAGTTTTTTTCCCCCTGAGGATAACACTCACATCCTTATAAAGTGCAATAACTTATCACAGGGATTTTCACATTGCCTGATTTCCTTTTCCCAGTTAAAATTCAATGTCATAATGAGTCACAAATCATCTGTATCATATGATTGCAGTTATCTTAATTTGTTTTAAAAGCAGTCATTCATTAAGCATAGACTTAATCCCAAATGGATACCACAATGTTCCTATACAGTTGCATCTAATTTTGACATAAAAGTCTCACCCATCTTCCCATCTATAAATGTCTGGCTCACCGTCAGATCTATAGAATCTGTAATAGATCCTGTGGTGAGAGTACATATAGTTATGACCAGGCACCCAGGAACCAGAAGAACTTTGATCACCATCAATGGATGCCACATCTAAGACAAATCACTTAAATTATCTGTGTCTCAATTTTCCCATTCATAAAGATAAGCGTGATTACAACAACTACCTTATAGGACTACCATTCTTTAATGTATTTGGAATAGTTATTGACACATAAGTAAATACTAAATAGGTGCCAATTAACCAATTATGTGTTTTCTAAAGAGTGATTAACATGCAACTTTAGGTTACTTTGTAAAAATTCATTCAAAGTGTATGTGTATTTTAAGATTTTGTTTTATAATTTAGGAAATATTCAATAAATATTGTTTTGCTTTGCAGTATTGTATATTTAACCAAACATTTCCAAGAATAAACTTGTCATGAGTAAGCATGCTCAATTATACAGTGCAGTTACTTTGAAAATAAAATGTGCTTATCAATTGACTTGAATCTCCCCCACTGCACTCCCACTCTAAGACCTCGGTTTGTAGGTACGTGGATTATATTTCATAATGGCTGATTTCACCTGTTTGTATAATTTATTTTTTTAAAGTCATGCTGAGAGCTCTGGGAAAGACTCAGCTGTAATTGCTTTGTAATGAAATGTTGAAAGCTATTTAGAACCCGTTCAGAGCAATTACATTTGTTTAGTCAGCATAGCAAGATGCTAGACTTAAGCCTATAAATATAGTTTGTAAAAAAAGAAAAGTATTATATGTTGCATAGTCAAAACATCACAACTAAAATGCACTTCATTAAATACACATTGAAATTATGTTTTGTTTTTCCATCTGAATCTCAGCTCACATGGACCCACGCACACATACACACACACACACACACACACACACACACCCAGGACTCTTCAAGCCATGATATTTGAAACCCCATTTTTACTCTCAATATTGCATGAGCATACATGTATTTTCCATTCAGCCAATAAATACATTTTATGAAATTATTATCTTTCCACATCCATGTGATACTGCCAAACTTCAACAGTTACCAAGATAGGCTTGGATAATGGAGAGCACTAAATAACATATTGGCAAACAGATGTTAAGACCTAAATGATACTAACAAATTCAAATAAAGCTAAAAGCTTAGAGGAGCTTCATGTCTTGCTTTTCTCCTTTGAATGAGTCTCTTTTTCATTATCTAAGCTACAAAGTTTTTAGATAATTAACTTACAACAACTCATCGGCCAATGGAAAGCATTGGACCAGATAATGTTACTGAACAATTCCAGCTTTAAAATCCTCTCATCATTGACAACATTGGCCCACAAATAGGGGATGCACCTCTTGAAATACACATTTAGTTGCAATTGAGGAATAATGGGAAGAGAAATTTTAATTTGCATGAATAATTAACCAGATAAAAATTAAATGTTTTTAAGCTTTGTTTTTTACATACTCTGTTGACATTCCTCACTTTTTTTCCTGTGACCTTGACTGAGACAGGGATTGTTCATCTCAAAAGCACATCTGTTCTTGACATTTCCGTAGTTTGACATTAATATTTCAAAATATCTCCAAGTCAGAATGACTGTATCTCTTGATTTTCTCTTAATTCTTTTGAGATAGGTTCATTTTATGACATGGTAGGCTTAAAAATTATGAAGGTAGCATATTAGAATGGTGTTTCCTTACCATTGCATTGGAAAATTCTTTGTTAATAAAAATTTTGCTATTGTTTCAACCATGCATTTACACATGTGCACATAGCAAATGTGTGTTACTATTTGGGGATCATATGTTACACATATACAAATTCACAAGTGAAAGTTTGATGGATATAAAGGCCAAATCCATGTACTTGTATATTTTTCCAAAGGATTTTAGTACTATGAAAGCACAATAGCAGTCAATAGGAGAAAAACATAGTTTTGATCTTTTTAATATAATTAACTATAGACCTTGTCTGTTTTTCACTTGCTTCAGCATGCCAATAAAAATAAGCAGAGTTATAAATGTGGCAACAAAAGCTTCAGAGAACTAAAAAACATTGACCAGTATAAAAAGTGTTAATGAAAAAAATTACCATTATCACTGCTGATTTAATCTACCACTCTATCAGTCACAGAAAGAAGAGTGCCTGTAACAAAAACTTGAATTATTTAGTTTTATTCTACAATACACAAGTAAAAAATGGAAATTTAAAAATTGTGCTTTGTGTTCCTAAGATTTATATATACACTCATCATGGTTTCTGAGCTTTTCAATTCATTAGCAGTTGGATTGCATAAACTATCCTGAAGGGATGAAGATCAATGTTTGGTGTTCAATGCTGACTTACATAATTATGTATAGTTTTCTTAATATTTTTATTAGACATGCAGATAATTTATACATAACAAAGTGAAGTTTCTTGGAAGAAAGACATAGATTTGTACATCCTCTCTTAAATAGATGTACCTATTCCTGGAATCTAAATGCCTTTTTTTTTTCATAATTTGACACAGTACTCTTGAAGAGAAAAATTCTAATGTTTAAACTGTTCTCATAAAATCATAAACTTATGGAAAACAGACCAAAGAAAATTCATAGAGGTAGTTACACATAATACACTAAATCAGCAATTAAAAACATAATACAAGTGATAGCATTAATATTATTCTGCACAATGAGATGAATCTGAGTCACATTTCAGTTCCTGTGGGCTTACATCTTAACAGAATTATGCAATATTCAGTCTTAAGCTGTGCAAGAAATATAAGATTAAAAGTAAAATATGATATTTAAACAACAGGAATTTATAAATATAAGAATAGTTAAATTAAGAAAAAAATATCAATATTCATTAAGCAAAAGTTCACAATGAATTGACTAAGGTATTTTGGATGTTCAATAATGAAGAAGTCAGTATAATACTCAGAAGAGTGGACACACAGGTACGTGAAGAATTTAGATTAATCTTAACAATAATAAGTCCTGAAACAGCAAGGCACATGCATATAAAGGAATATTCTAAAACATGTGACAATATGGAGAACACAATGCTTAGTGACATGAACCATTTCTAGATAATAAATGGGTCTACTTACTTCTGATACCTAAATACTCAAAGGCATAAGTCAATATATAGAATGGCAGGTTTGTGGAGTTAGGGGTAGGAGACATGAGGAATTACTAGGGAAGGAACATAGAATTCAATTAAGCAAGAAGAAACACTAGATATAGTCAGCAACAATGTATGAATACTTAAAAAAATTGGAAAGGCAGACTATTATATTAGATGGTCTTGTAACACTGAACTGACTTAAAATGACATTTTTGGTTGTATATGAGTAGAGTAATTGTGTCGAATGCATGATCATATAGTATTAGTATCTATAAATTAAGAAAGTAGATGAATTATTATTAGTTTGTAACAAACTAGTTAAAACCTAAATATCTAAAATATAAAATAAACAAGGTTGAAAGAAAAGGTGAGCTGAGCTCTGCACAACGATCTATTCCTTACAGGCTTTTGGACTGAAGAGGACTCACAGATTTTCAAAAGCTGTTCCCTGACTCTAACATGAGTTTCTCACCTTTGGAAACTCCAGAGGGAAAGTCACAACATGACAGTTGGGTTTATCATTGCTAAGTCACTTCCCATCTTACATCGTGCATTCCTGTATTCTTCATTCCCACATGGGTAGCAAGGACCCAACTGCTTGAATCATTTCCTGTTGCACACCCCAGGTGTGCATTTCAGGAACCTGGGATCAGAAGCAGAACAGGACTCAAACCATAGTACTCCAGTTTGGATTTCGGCATCTCAAGCAACATCTCAACTGCTGTGCCAAATGTCTGCCCATTTTTTCACCTTCAATATTGAAAGATATTTTTTTTCTGG